ATAGGAAAGAGTGATGTGCTGTAGTTCTTGTTGTTTTTTCTTCCCTGTTTTACTGGTTCAGTAAGCAATCCAGTAAGAAGCAATATTTTATAAAGATACTGAAATAGTTTTCTGCCTGTGTGTTTTGTCTCTTCTTTCTTTAATGCTGCTGTAGTCATTTCCTGGAAGGATATTTTCCGTTAACAGCTTTGTCTTGGAAACAACTAACATGCAGTAGGTTTCCCCTTCCCCCATCTTTTGGTAAGGACTATCATACTAAAATTTTGAAAATCATTACTTCATTAAAATCAGCTAACTGCAGTCTGCAAGCATAAATTAAACCTAATCATCGGTGCTTTGGCTAGTGTTCATTCAAAGAAATTTTTGCATGTGTTCTTACAAAATAAGTACATTTCTGCTTTATGAAACTGATCAAAAGAAAAATGATCACTGAATAGTTAACCACTTTCTATCTTGTATTATAGTGTTTTAGAATTCATTTTTACACTTAAAAAAAAATGACTCTCAGATAGTCACTTAAAGTAACTTATACTAGGAACTGTCACAGACACTGTTACCATCAATAATCTGTGAAAGCATTGTAGGGCCAATGTAAGATTTTGATGGCTCTGTAAATTGTCTTTCCTAAGTCTATTGAGAGACAATGCACTGTAATTCAGTGCTTTGTTGAACTGGGCAATACAAAGTTTTAGTAAACTGATTTCCAGAGACAGAAATTGGCCTTAAGTAAGAGCAAGCCTTTTGTGTTACGGAAGAAATTAAAATTCTGCAGGTGGTATAATAAAATTCTCTGTACATAGTTGGATGTGGTGGCATATACCTGGACTGCCAGTTACTGGAGATACTGAGGCAGAAGGACCACTTGAGCCCAGGAAACTAAGGCCAACCTGGGTAGCATAGCAAGATACCAACTTGGGGGAGGAACCAAAAAAACCTGAATAATCTAGATAGAAAAGTGGTTAACATATTATTTTGACTTTTATTATATAAATAACAATTTGTGATTCAAAAACCTTTCAACAGATGATCTTCCAAAACCTAAAACTACTGAAGTAATTAGGAAGGGCTCAATTACTGAATACACAGCAGCAGAAGAAAAAGAAGATGGGCGCCGGTGGCGGATGTTTAGGATTGGCGAGCAGGACCACAGGGTTGATATGAAAGCCATTGAGCCCTACAAAAAAGTTATTAGCCACGGAGGTAAGAGTTATAGGAGAGGCTTTGGGTTGTTGTTGTTGTTGTTGTTGTAATGTGTGTAAGTGTTTTGCCTGCATGTATGTAAATGCACTACAAGTATGCAGTGCCTGCCGAGGGCATAAAGAGATCAGATCCTGGAGTCAGTTGTCAGCCACCATGTGGGTGCTGGAAACAAAACACAGGTCCTTTGCAAGAGCAGCCTGTGCTCTAGAACCCCTGAGCCATTTCTCCAGTTCCACTTTGGGTTTTTTAGATGTACTATCTGAAATTTGTGATTTCAGAAAATGTAACTAGAGATAGTACATTATTTTGAAAGAATAATAAAATTTTATCATATCATTTTAGGATTATAAAAGCTTTGAAGTAAAAGGATAAAGGACATTTAAGAATTATTTATATGTACTGTGAGTTAAAGCACTGCAGTTTGCATTGAAAAATATCTTAGCTTTTCTTCCCCCCTTTGTATGCATTTGTAATTTATATGTGGCAAAGTGTTCTCATCTTAAGTATGTTGAGTTTCAACAAATGTAAACCTTTGTGTACATATATACATACATATGTGAACCACACTCATATAGAACATTTTCATTTCCCAGGAAACTGATGCATCTTTCCAATAAATTCTCTCCAGTAACCACTGTTGATAATCTATTCCCATGATCATCTTTACCTCTTAAGGAATTGCGTGTGACTAGAATCATAATGTATGACGCCTGTATACTTCTTGTTGTTCATCATAGTTTTGAGATTCACCAATGTTGTGTGAATAGATTACTCCCTTTATTGCTGAGTAGATGCCTAAATAAACTGTTGCCTAAATAAACTACATTTGTCTATCCATTTGCAGTTTATTGGGCATCTGAGTTGTTTCCAGTTTGGTTTATGAATAAAACGGCTGCACCATTGATGCACAAATCTTTTTGAGTGTCAGTAGACTTAAAACTAAATCTCTTCTTCTGGAACAAATCATCTAGCCTCAGTAGAGAGCTAGTTTATTACATGTTTATGGAGTCCCTTTTACTTATGAGATACACAGTTTTTCATTCCCGTCGGAGATTTACAAGTCAGTAAGCAAACTGTGAAAGTACAAGTTGTAAACTCTATTAGTCTGACTGTACCATATCTAGAAGTTGTTCTAGATACCGGGCAAATAGTATCAGGATGTTAGTGGTAGTTGAATGCAGCTCACTGTAGAATGTTTCACATTTGTTTAAATCCTAATACCAGCCAAATGGGCAGGTAGTTGGAGCAGATTAATTTTTTTCTTTCTCACATGGAATCATTTCCACTTAATTTGCTTTGCCAAAAGCATTCCCTCAGTTATTTCTACAGTCTTCATTCATCTGAAAGCAAATCACATGAATATTTGCAGTTACATTCTTGTGCCTAATTTATTCTTACTCATAAAGCAGAGTGCTCTAGATCAGGAAGTCCGTGAACATACATTAATTCAGCTGATTCATAGAAATTGAGTTCGGAATTGCCTTATGGTTCAAACCTAATGTCCTTCAGAAATGGCACTTTATTTTCCTTGGGGGAAGATAATTGTGGCATCTTGCCAGGTGGAATTATCACATTTAATATGTTTTGTGACTAGGTTCAGGAAGCTAGTAAAAGTGCTAGTGCTTTTCATGTCCAGATCCTTTCAGTTCATGTTTATAAACAGCGCAAATGACTGAAGCAAAATGCCGTACTGAAGTCAACTTAATGTATAAAGATTGCAGTTGAAACCCATTTTTATACTGTTTTCTTCACCAATAATTATGTCAGAGATGTCACGTTTTCTTAGGTTTAGTACCCTAAACTGGCTACATATAAGCTGCCTCAGAATGTTTTATTTCAGATGTCCTCTAAAAAATGTTCAGAGTAAAGACTGGAAAGATGACTCAGAGGTAAGAACACTTCCTGCTCTTGCAGAAGACCTGAGTTCAATTCCCAAAACCCATATGGGGTAGCCTACAACCCTACCTATAACTCCTGCTCTAGGGGATACCTTTAGCCCCCATGGACAAGTGCACTCATATGCACTACCCACACATAGACATATACAAGCACATAACAAAAAAATAATAATTAATAGATCTTCAGAGGAAAATCATGTTATAATTTTACCATCCATTTCTTTTTCAGGCTATTATGGGGATGGTTTAAATGCTATTGTTGTATTTGCTGTCTGTTTTATGCCTGAAAGTGGTCAGCCTAACTACAGATACCTGATGGACAATCTCTTTAAGTAAGTATGCCTTAACAAAAAAGGTTTGAGCAGAATTCCAAACTAATTAGACCCCTAGTTTAAGCAAGTGAATTAAAGCTTTGTAAAACTTAGAAGCCAGCTGGGTGTGCATGGTGGCGCATGCCTTTAATCCCACCACTTGGGAGGCAGAGGCAGGCGGATCTCTGTGAGTTCAAAGCCAGCCTGGTCTACATAGTGAGTTCTAGGATAGCTGGGGCTGCAGGGAGACCCTGTCTCTAAAGACCAAAAAAAAAATAGAAGCCAGGTGTGGTAGCACAGGCCTCTGATGCAGGTATTCAGGAGGCTGAAGCAGAAGCTTAAACTATATACAGATCAGGTTTAAGACTAGCCTGGGCAACTTAAAAATAAAAAGCCAAAAGGGGTCTGGAAAAAGTTCAGTGACAGAGCACTTGCCTGGGGTACACAAACCCAACAATGTAGCAACAACAACATTTACAAATAATCCGAGTTCTGAATCTTTAAGTCCTTATTCTTTGGCATTATGAATCTATTTTCCAACCCAGCAGAAAAAAATTTCATTTTAAAATTAGTACATTTCAGATTATCTATTCATTTCATTATTTTCAGATACGTTAAATTTTAAAAGGTGACTTGTATCTCAAAAATCCTGTTAGTAGGTCACATTTACTGCTAGAAACATTGTAGAAACTTACTCAGTGTAAGGTTTTCTTACATTGCCATGCGCATTCTTTTTCTTGGGTCAGTGCAGTTTTTTAAATCTTTATTGGGAAAAACTTCAGACAAACATAGAAGTAAAGAGCAGTGGTCAGATTGTTGTGTCAGTCACCCAGTTCAACAGTTAGCAACTTACTCCACTTCTTTCCCTTTATGTAATATTGAAAAATTCCCATATATGGTGTCATTTAATCTGTAAACATTTCACTATAATTTTCTGTTTTAAGTAATCATAATATCAGCTACTGAAGATTTACGTTTTTGATTGCGTTTACTGTAACTGGAAGAAGGGAATTGTGTTCAATTAAGAGCCTAACAGCTTTGCATAGTGATGATGGTTAAGGTGTATATTTGTTTTTATAGATACGTTATTGGCACTTTGGAACTGTTAGTAGCAGAAAACTACATGATAGTTTATTTAAACGGTGCAACAACTCGAAGAAAAATGCCCAGTCTGGGATGGCTCAGGAAGTGCTATCAACAGATTGATAGAAGGTAATGCAAACCCTCATCTGAGTGATTCTTACCGTAGCTTGATTAGATTAAAATTTATTTTCTGTTACCACTTAAAGATACTATATCCATTTCTTAAATTATGCTTGTCAATTTCTTAATGTTTTTATTCTCTAAATACAGCATTTTAGAATGTCACAAAGGAAATTAATTTGAATCTGCTTTATTAAGAGTAACTCATTCTTCAAACTGAGAAGATTGCTTTTCATTTCTCCTTATACCATTTGGAACACATTATTTTAGTAATTCATCTTAGGAAAGGATGGAGAATGTCATACATTTAAAGTTTTGTTCTGTAGCTTACCACATTTCATGTTCATGCATACATGCGTGCATGGGTATGTACATGCGTGTGTATGTACTTGTGTGTAGGTGCTCATATGGAAGCCTCAGGTCAACTAAGGTCGTTCTTCAGTGCTGTCCACCTTGTTTTTGGAACTGAGTCTCACTGAAGCCTGGGGCTCACTAGGCTAGGCTGGCAAGCTAAGGAACCCCAGGGAACTGCCTATCTCTACCCCTCACTGCTGAGATGACAAGCCCACACCACCATGCTTGACTTTCTTTACATGAGCTGTGAGGAATGAATGCCAGGTCCTTAAGCGTGCACAGTAGGTACTACCTTCTGATCCATTTCCCCAGTGTTCCTCTTTCTTAAAGACAATAACTTAACTGTAATTTTTCCTTGGAACAAACTTTAGGAGAATATTCTCTATAAGAATTAGTAGTTTATGCTAATGGGAGGAGCTTTAATTTTCCAATAGGTTTGATTTTTGCCACGGCTAAAACAGGGTAGTTTACTTGTGCCTATTAATAGATTTCCTTTCATGCATAAACATGCTGTTAGCTTTTTTGATTTAAAAAAAGACTACATATTATATGAGTATATGTGTGTATATATATAGTGTATATGTATCGATGTATATGTATAGATCTGTGTCACTTATGTTGAAATATGTATGATAAATGTTTTTATTTGATCGTTTAAAAAGAGGCCGATGATGATGATGATGATGATGATATTTGTAATACTTGTTCCTTTAGTCATCTCTGCCCCACTCTCTCCCTAGTCAGTGCTTTTTATGGTGTTGAAGAAATTGGTCCCAGTTTTTCCCCACTCTTGAAAAATGAGAGCTGTTTACTTCTATGTTCAGATTGACTTCTTCCCCTGGTAGATAGCACTGAATGCATGTGTACTAAGAGGCATTTAAAATGGGCAAAATAAGACAAAAATTTGGCCAAAAGATGTTAGGGTGATTTCACAACATAGGAAGGATGATCAGAATACAAAAATGCATTTTCTTGTCTTTAGAATGAAAATTTTTGGTGGCCTTTTTGCAATAATTTGTATAAACTTGCACATACTTATTGATGTCTTCTTATGTTACAATTTATAGAAATTTCTAAATTTTTTCTTTTTTTTCTTTTTAATCTCCAGGTTACGGAAAAACCTGAAGTCTCTCATCATTGTCCATCCCTCTTGGTTTATCCGGACACTTCTGGCTGTTACAAGACCATTTATCAGGTAGTTTTCTGAGAGCCCTGACTCTCCAAAAAGAACAAAATTCCTCATATTAAATTTGTATGTATTATAGTCATAAATACTGAAATAATCATTTTTATTTTCTTCCATAGCTCAAAATTCAGCCAAAAAATTAGATACGTCTTTAATTTGGCAGAACTAGCGGAACTTGTTCCCATGGAATATGTTGGCATACCAGAATGCATAAAACAGTATGTCTTGCTTTCTTTCTTTCTTTCTTTCTTTCTTTCTTTGTGGTCTTTGTGTTTTTATGCACAAGGAGTGGTTTTCAATATTCTTTCTTCATGTATTTTAGAACAGCTTTTTTTTTTTGTAACAAAGAAATTAGAAGCCATTTTCCCATACCTTCCCCATAAGTGGCCATTTTCTTGGGACTGTTTGAAGAACTAGGAGAAACGATTGCTGGTTTGCATCATTTTATGTGCTAAGCACTGTTAACAGTCTAAGGGACAGTTTCCCCAGTGACCAGTCCTGAACCAAACTAGTCTAGTTCTAAACTTGAACATGTTACTCTCCAAATTTGAGGAAATTTATGTTACTGAAAAAAAACCTATTGCTAGAGAACTAAAGTGTCCTTGAAAACATCACCTTCACCTGAATGTTTTCCAGTGACTAGAACCGTACTGTTGGCACTTCTGAAAAGGCTTGGCATAGGCTGTCATGAAACAGTGTCACATGCTGCTCTTCAGGAAAGTTTCTCTCTTCTGTTGCTCTCAGGTTTTAGTCTTCATTGTATCTAAACAGATTTAGTAAGTCAGTTTTCATTTTCTACATCATGTGTTAAGTATTTTGTGTTAAGTAGTTGTGCCTGCAAAATTATACTTTCAGTCCTTTTTTTTTTTTTTCTAGTTTTTGTTCTAATAACGTGCATTTACTGAAATAACTCTTCCTTACCAAGGTATGAAGAAGAAAGGCTTAAAAAGAAACAAAAAAGGTATATGCACACCTGGATTGGGTTGCATCTAGACTAGCCCATTTGCATTGCACAGACTAACTCTTCTCATCTGTTGGTTAGCTTGTAGACAAAGATAATAGCATGTGCAAATACAAATATCTCCCCAAATCCAAATGTAGGGCAAATCCCGTATATTTCCTTATGCCGACTATGACTTGGATTCACCCTGTTTCAGTACCATATCTAACACCTGTTAGGAATGGAAGTTCTTCCTCTCTTTGTCTTGGCTGAATACTGATGTGAAACCAGGGGAATGACTGAACTCTGGTCAAGACGCCAAACAGTGCTGTGATTCCCGTTACACCACACCACTTCTTTAAATCTCTGAGTTTGGCTTTTGAAGTAGACATTTTTTTCAGGAACAGTTTATTTTCTTGGGGTTGATATTTATATTTACAATGTATATATTCTTTGGCTAACCAACGTCAATTTTCTTTGTATGCTTCAATAGCCTTCTAACCAGTCAAACTGTACATGTGATAAATACCTAAAATCGGTGTACCATTTAACAGTTAAATGCTCTGCTTTCCCTTTTAAATTTAATTTTGAACACTCTGCTTTGAGCATAACAATCTAGCATCTATTAATATCTCAGCATAGAAGATGAAAGGCAAAGGAATAGAATAGTTTACCATCTTATATAGTAATTTAGGAAAGTATAGGCTTTGAGTCTAATTTGTTCCTGGTTGGTTTTTTTGTTCTTGGAGACAGTCTCACTCTGTAGCCCAGGCAGGTTCACAGTCTTCCATCTCAGTCTCCCAAGTTATGTACCACCACACCCACTTATTAATAGAGGGTTTTTTGTTTGTTTAGCTTTTAACAACTGAATTATCAAACATTTAATATAATCTTAACAATTAAGGTGAGAGATTTGTATGTATCATTTTGACCACCTAAGGAATCAGTTCTGTTGCTGCTGTATTTCTAGTTTTGGACACCCTTTGTTGGGAATCTGACATTTCTGTGGTACTTTGCAGTCTGACCCATACTAAGCCAGTGAGCCAGTGACGTGAGCAGTGATGTAGGTGATGTGGCTCCCCATTCCTCTCTAGGCAGGGCTGTGTATTTGTCTGACAAGTAGCTGAAACTTAAAATATAATCTAGAATTACTGAATATTTTGAAGCTAGCTACCTCCTAGGCTTCAAGATAAGTGGACTTTTTTGAGGAAGTGTGCTGTATAATGTACTATTTAAAAGTTCTTCGCATTTAATCAACTACCAAAGAATAATTGAGGCATCATTTTAAAAGTGAAACTCAAAACTTTTTATTCATTGCTTAAAAACTGTCACAATTATTTTATATTGGATACTCCTCCCTTGGAGCCCCTCCTGCTTTCTCAACACCTCCTTAATATTCATTCTGCTCAGAAAAGTAAATAGAAATAAGCAGGGCATGGTAGAGCATGCCTTTAATCCCAGAGCTCAGGAGGCAGAGGCAGGTGGATCTCTGTGCGTTCAAGGTCAGCCTGGTGTACATATTGAGTTCCAGGCCAACTTTGGCTCCAGGAAAAGACCAAAAAAAAAATTTTTTTTTAATAAAAATACATTATTTTTTCTTGATTTTTTTTTTCCCACTTTCATTTATGTTCTCCCTTTAATAGTATCATTACATATAGTTTTCAACACTTAATTTTTACAAAACTTTTAGCATGGAAGCATAATAAACCTTCATCAGTTTGAGAATGGTAAATTTTAATTGTTTTCAATTAAACTTAAATATAGAAACCTGTTTAAAACAAAAACTCAAAGGATACATTGGGAAGAGGGGAAGGTTTGAGGGGAGAGAAGGGAGCAGTGTGGAAGTGTGGAGAGAGGTGTGTGGGGAATGGGAAGGTGTGAGGAGAGAAGGGGGAAGTGTGGAGAGCTTCTGTAAGGCAGCGGCCCCATGATAAGCTCTGGTGTTTGGAAGGGTATAAACTGAGGATTGAAATACAGTCCTTTTAATCTTTCAATTCTTTCTAACAAGTAGCAAGTGTGACCAGGCAGTTTTCAATTGTTAAAATGTCTGAACAGAATTTAAAAATTAATATTTCAGTTACTTCTAAACAGTATTTTAAAAGATTAGCTGTATATTGTATGTCTTCACAGGAGTACATATTTAATCTTTGATGCCAACATAAAGAATATGTTTAAATGGTGTTAATGTCTTTTTACAACAGGCCAGGGCTTTTACTGGGTAATATTCAGGTGACCACAGTAGTGAATACTGAAGACCACAGTAGTGGAAACAAGTGTGAAAAGTCTCTTCTTGGTTTGTAGCAGATTGATTTAAACATCCCCACATCAGTTAAACTACTACAGACGTGGTGTAACACATTGCTGTATGTCACATTTGAAGGGTTGTCTTTAATTATTGTTTGGCAATTATGTTATCTTTTAATTCCCATGTGCCTAAATTTTGGTAGGACCTTCAGCCAACCCACCATTAATCATTCCAGTGAGGTTTTTAATACTCATTTAGATATTTCTGAATGTTGAATCAATATGTCTTCTTACTATCAAAATAAATGAAAAGGCATTGACAAAGTGTACCAGTGAGTTCCGGAGAATAGCTACCATTCTGTAAATATGCACTTTTTTTTCTGGTTTTAGGATTTTAGTTGCTCAATTGGTGGCTTTAGTGACAGTTTTCTATATCAGTTAACAAAATCTTGTGAGAGTTCCATTCTTCTTCACAGTCTTCTGAGACCCCTGCCATAGCGGAATTACAGTCATGAGCTTTTATGTGTACATGTAGATAATAAAGAATGTTCTTTGATGGAATCTTTAAACAGTGACAAGTCATTTCTTGCCAGTGTTGTGCTGCTTATAAGAATTCTCTTTCTGGTTGGGGAAATAATGTTTGATTATCTTTTTACTATGTCTGCTTCCTTTGCAAAGCTTTGGTTTTTAACAGAATAATATTCTGTGCTAAAAAACAAGTTGTTCATTTGCCAGTGTCTTTCTTGTTTTTAATTATCCATATTTTTCATTGAACAGAGTTGATCAAGAGCTTAATGGAAAACAAGAAGAACCAAAAAGTGAGCAGTGAGTTTGGCATCCAGTCCGAATAGGACGGAAGAGTGTGCTGGTGAACCGGGGCTCTGATTTGCGTTCCTAATGCATTTATTGGCTTGTGTTTTTATGTAATCTGTTACAAAATTTACTTGACTCTTTTTCCAAATGGACTTTTGTACAAGGAACTGTTCACTGCTGTATGGTTTGCAAATCTCTTGAATTTAGCCCTTTAATGGCTAAATATATAATCATTTTATACTGCTAAATAGCAGAGAACTACACTTTATATAAAGCAATTTTTGCATTTGTTTATTAAATGATGCATCTTCAGTAAAATATTTATATGCATAAGTGACAAAAGAAAGAAATAATATATATTTTTATGTTTGGGGCAATATTTTTAATGTATACCTATCTTGTGGAAAAATATGCAGGTAAATAAGACCATGATTTTGTAAAATGCATGTAGACTTTTTGTTTTTGTAAACGGTTGACTACATTTCCTGGGCAACTTATAAAACTTAAGTTGCTCTAAAGCAAGGGACAGTTAAACTGATTGTGATGAATACCCAAAGATCATGTCCATAATTTAAGTAAATTACTAGTACCGTCTCAAGTTTTTCTCTCACCGTAATGTACATTGTTTCTTAATGCGAAAGTGCAAATACAGTTGCGCTGTACTTTTTCCTCTTTAAAGACAAGTCAGAAAGCCATCTTTTTAACTAGAGATGTTGAGAAGCTAATAATTAGGGTTTGTATGTATGTATGTATATATGGAACATTTTATCTTCTGACCCAAAGTCAGAACTATTGAGAGAAAGAAAAGGAAAGAAAGAGAAAGAAAGAAAAGAAGGAAGGAAAGCAAGCTAGCTCACTCTTAAGATTTGCTCACTCATGTGAAATAAGCTGTTTGTCTGGGGTATTGTCCTCCCCGAACGCATGAGTGCTGTGTATCGCTGCAGAGTGATGAGCGTTTGTTGTCACATCTTTCTCTGGGGGACACGGGCTGCTTCCGAAGCTGCCCTCACTGTGGGCACTTTACCAGAACACTTCCACAGAAGTTATTTGGACTCAGTAATATCTGCCCTAGGCAGAGATGGTGTGCTTTCAAGCTCCTGTTGGGTCATGGTTAATGATGCTATAAATTAGGTAATTGTAAGTATTAGAGCACCATTCTACTGTGCTATTTGGGGTGACATATTTGATATATGTACGCCCTTTGTTTTGTGTGGCAAGTACCTTTACTGAACATTGCTATAAATTTTATTTAGGCTTCCAAGCAGGGTTTAATTTTATTTAGGCTTCTAAGCATGGTTTAATTACCTAAAAATCTTTCTAAAACAACAAATCCAGCTAGTATTGTTATCATGTATTTTCATGGCATACCCATACTTGGTTAACTTAATGCTCTCTATATTTGAAGGCCACCCTACCCAGCCCTTCCCATAAGCTGTTTACAAGAGTGATCTAGAGTAGCCAAATTGATACCGATGTGAGCTAAGCTTTGAAGATTATTCTCTCCTTTACTGAACACACACATGACTTCTACCATTGTCATTTTTGAGTGTTACAAAAGGGAATTTTTCTTTTCTTTTTTTTTTTTTTTTTTTTTTTTTTTTTTTTGTCCTCCTTAGTCATAAACTTGATCTAACTTAAAACCAGTTCTTGGCAAGCTGGAAGATTCCCTGAGTGAAACATTTCCCTGTAGCCTCTTTACTTGGATCCAGCAGCTCCAGCAGATCCTGTACCAATGACATTATAGTAGATTAAGCTAAAACCATTTTACTTGTGTTGGAGAAGTAAACTCAAGAGTAGCTCCTCCTCAACTTAGGATGAGGGTTGTGAGGAAAGATCATGTTGGGTTCTTGTGCATATAGAACATTTTCAGAAAGTCTCTCATCTGCCTGTCAGTATCATCTCAGAATGGGCTGAACTTCGTCAACAGTGGTTTTCTACCACATTAAGTACTTGGCTTTTAAATTTCAAAATATGGACAGTTTCAACTTTTCTAATATGCCTACTTTTTGCAAAATGTTGTTTTTCTAAATTTGTTGTTGTTTTTCTTTGACAGGGTCTCCCTAGTCCCAGCCCCACCTGGAAGTCAGTATGTGGACCAGGGTGGCCTCAGTCTCACAGAGATCACCTGCCTCTACTTCCTGAGGGCTGGATTAAAGGCTCTCGCCACCACACTCATCTTTTTTCTAAATTTTTAAAAAGTAGAGGTATCCTTTATTCTATCGGAACATTAAAATTCAGAAGGAGGGGCTAGAGAGAGGGCTCAGTGGTTAAGAGTGCTTGCTGCTCTTCTAGAGGACCCAAGTTCCCTGCACTCATGTCAGGCATCTCACACCTGCCCATATTTCAGCTCTAGGGGGTCTGACACCCTCTTTTGGCCTCCACAGAAACCTATACACATATGGCACACACAAGATAAAAATAAATCTTTAAAAATAATAAAATGGAAAAGGAACAGTCAGGTGTGGTGACATATACCTAGAACCCTAGAGTACTTGTGAGTTTGAGAGAGGAGAGTTGCAAGTTCAAGGCCCACCTGGGCTACATAGCAAGCCCTTGGCTCAAAAATCAAGAAAAAAAAAAACTTAAGGACAATGATAACACTTGATTTACAATGATAGATGGTAGATGAGAGGACACACCTGTTTTAACCTGTACTGGAATGGAATCTGGTATAGGGAAGTGCCTACAGTAATTGGGAACTGTCTTTGAGCCTTAGATGGTAACTAGTTGGCTAGAGAAAAAGCATGAAGTTGATTTGTTCTTTGTAACATTTTCCCACATCATTGTATTTTAATTTCCTTTGCTGATTGAGGTGAAAGTGCATAGGATTGTAATTTTTTATCTTTTTGCTGGGTCATGAATAAACTAGACAGGTCTAATTTATATTTCTATTACCCTCTTTGTTACACTTTGGCTCTGATTGCCCCTTTTGTATGAAAAGTTTCTCTTACAGTGTAACTTGATTCTGTGGTCTGTTTATGTTCCTGAACAAGCTTCAAGGAAAGTCCTAAATATCTGCCCTGTATTTAAGCCTTTAACCCCTGGAGGTGAGAGAGGTATTATTTTAAGTAAAGTGTAGCCAGCATAGAAAAGTGCCTTTTTTTTTTTTGGTCTTTTTGAGACAGGGTCTCTCTGTAGCCCCAGTTGTCCTGGAACTCACTATGTAGACCAGGCTGGCCTTGAACTCACAGAGATCCACCTGCCTCTGCCTCCTGAGGGCTAGAATTAAAGGTGTGCGCCACCACGCCCAGCAAAAGTGCCTCTTTAAAGACTGAATTCTTACCTAGTTACCCTGGAATGTGTCCCTCTTAAAGGAAGTACTTTGACAGCTGATGGTTTGAACTCTTGTATCAAGCAGGGAAATATGGAGCTACGTGTGATTAAAGAAGCCATAGATTGAAGAGGAAAATGCTGATAATTCTTAGAGTGAGAATCTTATTTTCCTGTTTCTCCAAGCAGAAGCCAGTCTGAACACAATGGGTTAGCAGCTAACAATGTTCCAATTAAAGAGCTGTTCCAGAGCTGTTCGCCCCTTTCACAGTTGGCAAACTAACATAGACTTCTATAATGAGCATCACTGTTTAGCTTCACCATGTTAGAAGGAAGGGGGCTGCTTCATGGAATTCTTTTAAATGACTGTATAGTATTACTATTTCGCTGTTATGTGAGTGCTCGAATTTGGAGAAGCAAGTTCATGTAGAAGTCTGTCTTCCTGATAAATTATCTCTTCACTTGATAAATCAGCACTAGAAATATATGTACTAGAACAGGCAGTTTCCTGCTATGATTGATAAAATTAGAAAGTCAGAGTGGCTTTGACCTTTTTCCCCATGTTGTAAGTAGAAAATAGTTGACACTGTTCGGTTGGATAAGAGGGAGCAATGCCCTGGATAGAGGTGGCTGCCCCATGCTACTTTGGTTTTGTACTTTTTCCCCCTATTTTACATAGATATTTCAGAAATGGATCACAAGCAAATCTCAGAAGGCTAAAATAAGAATCGACATATTTACAGGTTTAACACTGTTTTGGTGTTGAAAAGTTTACCTTTCTAGGAAACAGAAATTGTGTAGTTAGAGTTGCTAGGAGAGTCAAGAACTTCAATAGTCAACTGAGGGGGCAGTAGGGCTTTGTCACTCAGGTTCTAAGCTAAGACAAAATGACTAGGGGGGAGCCATGCACCTTCTGCTCTGCTGCGGCTAAGTAATGTAGCTTTAATGGTAACAAACAGCAGAATGGAAGCATAAAGAGTAACTCAAATTTGAATAGAGCATTTGCTGCAATTATATACAGTAGGCCTAATTTCTTGTTTACAGAACTTAATTTAAAATTCTTTAAGCCAGGTGTGGTGCCACATGCCTTTAATCCCAGCACTGGAGAGGCAGAGGCAGGTGGATCTCTGTGAGATCTAAACCAGCCTGGTCTACATAGCAAGTTCCAGGCCAGCTGGGGCTACAGGGAGGGAGACCCTGACTCAAAAAGACCAGGGGGGGGAAAGCTATGAAAAACTCATACACAGCACTTAAATCAGGCACCAGATGAAAATCAAGAGTTTGCAGGCCACGTGATGGCAGTATTCTGGAGGCTGAGATAGGAGGATTGGAAATTTGAGGCCAGCCTGGATTATTTAGCAAGTTCCAGGACAGCCAGGCCTACAGAGTAAGAGCCCTGTCGCCATGGAAAAATAATAAAAAGTCAAATTAATAAAAAAGATAGTAAGCTCTTTGCTTCGGATAGCTGCCTGACTTTATCCTGAAAGACTTCCTAGAAGTTTAAAACTTTTGCATTTGAAGTTTTTATGCATGTGCATACTCAACTTGACAGAAAGAACTTGGAAAATAACATCAGTTACTCTAGTTTTTGTTTACCTACTTCCTAAAATAGGTCTTTTTAACAGTTGCTTGTTTACTTATAGAAACCCAACTCGTAAATATTGGTAGTGTTCGGGGCTACTGGCTTGCACGGGCCATGGGGTGTTGCTCACACAGAATGCAATTCCGTTCATCAGATACTATTGTACTTTGATATGTATTTCAAAAATGTTTTCATTACCACAAGTTCACACGCTGTCATTTGGACAAAATTACCTTACAGTGACCATTTTGTTACTACTACTACAATGATGTTGAGGAGCCTAGTACTGTCCTATCACAGTGAGAAACTCAGTTTTGATGTCTGTACGTGCAGGATGTAGATGTGCTTCCAGTAAGTGAAATAGTAGAGCTGGTCATGATTTGGGAAGGAGATGTAATATTTTCTTTTACTTTAACTACTTAGGAATACAATCATTTGTATCCTGATTTGTTGCACTTATTTTTGCAACATTAATGCATATTAATAAATTAGTTGGAACATTCGTTTGTGATTCATTTTGTTACATCTTTATACCACCAACTTTTACGCTAAGTAAAGCCTTTCAACTAACGTCATTCCTCTTCCGCAGGCTGGGCGCTTCATGTTCTTTTGTGGGGTGCATTCAACATGCTTAAAATTTTAACATTATTTGAACTACAATCAGAATTTGTATTCATAATCTAGATTTATTTTAATTAGCCGGGTGTAGTGGGGCACACCTTTGATCCCAGCACTTGGGAGGCAGTGGTAGCCAGGCCAGCTGTGGCTACATAAATAATTTTTAAAATATTTTAATTAGAGATGCAAGGATAAGATTTTTGAAGGCTGAAATGAAAACAGAAAGGAGGACCCCTTTAGTTTGTAGGCCTCCTGAGCTTTTGCATTTATGTCATTCAGGCACTCAAAGGCTAACGCTGCCTTTAAAGCAGGAAGGAATTTGAGGTTCTGCAGACTCGGAATTGGTGTATCTGCTTCAATATTAGGCACAGGTTTTAAATAGCTATCCTCCCAAATTGGGAGTGCTAAAGAACGTGGCGCCGAAAGCTTGCGGGGCTCAGCTGGTGGCAGCCCCACCTATTTTGAATAGCTGGAGAAGCCCTGCTGCGATGTGGCGGAGTCACCGGGACCGGGACGCCTACGGTCCGAGGGCTCGGCGTTCCCGGAATTGGACCTCGGCACGGGTCAGTGTCCAGTGGTTCGGATACCCGGTGATAGGTCCAACGGCCGGGCGCCGCGGTGGGAGGCCCCCGCCCCTTCGCCTGCCGGTGGGCGCGGCCCGCCGGCGTCTCCTTGGAGTCACTTCCAGGTTCTGCGAGCACTTCCGGGTCGCGGGCCCAGCGCTGCGGTTTCCGCAGCTGAGGAGGTTGGGTAGTGGCTACCCTGCCGGCTCCGGCCCTACTCTACGAGCGCCGCGGCGGCCAGCGCCTTTCTTCAGGTAGGCGGCGGGGCGGGGGGCCGCGCGGGGGCTTCCCTCGGCGCCGGGTGGTCCGGGGCTACGCGGCTCTCCTCGGCCGGGCGCGGAAACCGCGACCGGCGCGTCCCGTCGAACTCCACGGTGGCGGATCGCTACTGCTACACCAACGCGTCGAACCCCCGCGGGTTGCAGGAACGCTGGGTCGCTGCGGAGACTTCCTAAGCGTCTACGGAACCCCTAGCTATTAGTGTTTACACGTCGTGGAACTTCCATGTAAAGTTCCTGTCAGCTTTGGGACCTCTGCCCATTTTAGCGCCTTCCCCTCCACAACACCGTGTATTGATTGATGCTTACCTTCAAAAGAGCAAAGGTTTTATTTAACTCCCATTATGGGTCCAGTGCTGCCCTAGGCCCAGCTCTACAGTCATTGGTGGAAAAAACAAAGCCATGCCCTCGTGGCCCTTACATTTTATTGAAAATACATAAAATAAGTACGTAGTACGTTGATAGGTAGTTGTACCTTTTTGTTTTGTTTAATTGAGCAAGGGTATGGAGAAGTTCCCGAGTGGATGCGGGAGTTACATTGGTGATCAGTTTTGGCGTTGTGGGTTAGGAGCTGTCTGAGCAAAGATGAAGAATTTTATGAGTTAGCCAGTATCAGGAAGACTATTCCAGGCAGAAAAAGTAGCCATTACAAAGGCAAGAACATGCCTGTCTTGCTCAGGGTCGGGAGAGGGTTGTGCCAGGAGGAGATGGAGAGTACCTAAGATCAGAGGGAAAGGGTAGTGAGCTCACTGTAAGGACTGGTGGAAGCGGACAGCTGGCCAGGAGTCACAACGGAAGTGGAGGGGGCAAGTGTGGAACCAAGGAAAGGGAAATCAGGACACCATTGCCGTGATCCAGATGGCTTAGGGAGGCTCAGAACGTGGTGGTGGTACTGGAGATGGTGAGACATGGTCGAATTCTGGATCCATTTGGAAGATCAAGTAGATGAGCTGTATTAAGAACTGGATGTTGTCTTTGAGGTTTGGGTGACTTTGAGAACGGCTTCAGGGGTTTGCCTAAGTCCTTAGAAGAAGCCGAAGTTACTTCAGCAGAAACACAAAAGACAAGTGGAGATTTTAAATAAGAAGTTAGTTCCAGAATTGAGAATTGCTATGAAGATATGTGAATGTAGGGATGATAGTTAAAGCCATGAGAATAAGTGTCATCACTTCATAGATGAAAGAAAATGGGCAGAGACTGTCCTGTGATTCTAAAGCGTTCAGGGAAAAGAGACTCAACCAGCAGGATGAGCCAGTGAGTCAGAGAGGAAATCCCCCAAAGTGAAGGGCCAAGCGGCGATCCTTCAACAAGATGAAGCAGTGAGCTGTGTCAGATGCTGTAGTCTGGTTAGGATCAGCTTTAGCAGTGCCATTGATGACTCCACCATCTGTTTTATTACAGTGCCAAGAGCCAAAAGCCCACATGGTGTGAGTTTAGGACGAAACAGTGAGGACAACTTTTGCTGCAGAGAGGAACAGAGAAATAGAACATAGGTGACAGGGAAGGGGATTGCAATATTTGTTATTGTTGTTGCTCTCCCCTAAAGGGAAGAGGTAACTGTGGGTTTGCTGGCTGGTGGACATGATCATACAAAGGGAAAATTTGTGGTGAGAGAAAAAAAGAGCAAATGAATTGTTAGAGCGGTATCCACACAGGAACTAGAGAGACAGAGCCCACTATGTAGGTAGAAAGATTGTATTCAACAATGACAGACCTGACAGGAAGGTGAGTATATGGATGTTGTTAGGTGGGTAGTTAGGTGAATGTGGTTGTGAGATTACGGGAATTTTCATTGCTTTAATTTCCTCAGTAAAATAGAAAACTTTGTGCTCCACTTAAATATATTTCTAATGTTTTATATTAGTTCTTTGACATACCACCGAGTTTGCTTTTTTTTTTCACTTCAACAAATACTTTTTGAATACATACTACATATATTGTTGTGGGTGGTAAATATGTATCTGAACCAGAGTTCCCTGCTTTCATGTATCAGCTCGTCCAGTGGATACAGAATAAACACGGATATGTTGCTTCAATTATTAATATGAGTGAATTAGTGAGACTCAATAGAAGAAAGGGAGGTCCTTTTTTTTACAGATTGATCATAGAAGACTTGTGATAAGTCGACCAGACTTATGATACATTTGATCAGAGATCAAAGTTAAATGAAAGAATGAACTCTGTAGGTATCTAAGAACATTTGCAGCAAAAAAAAAAAAAAA